TTAGGGTTTAGGGTTTTGTTTTGTTTTTTTGTGGGGAGGGCCCTTTTTCCGACAACGGTACCCGTCCACTCATCAGAAGGCCTTACGGTCAGGGGCTTAGGGTTTAGGGTTTACGGTTTCGTCAGATGCTGCAGGGGAGTCAAATCAAAAAAACGCACCATTCGAGTATAATGTAGGGCCTTTGAAAATAGAATAGGCTTTTGGGGCCCATGAACCTATAACTATAATAAGGAACCCCCAAAATAGTATTGAAGTTATTTAGGCCCCTATATTAGATCCTACATCATGGGATTCTCATTGTAGGTATCCCGGAGGAAGGTAACCCTACCATCAACGGGACAACATCTTCATCACTTCCACCAGAGGGTGCGAGACATGACTCGCACATGTTAATTGTGTTTTACAGCTTCTTGGCTTGAGTTTGTTGGGTGGATTTTGGCTGATTTCCGGCTGGGTTTGGCTTGTGTCGCGCGTGCTCGCTGGGTTGTTTACGAGGCGGAATCGAATTCCACCGTCCTTCTACACACTCCTAAACCCAATCCAACCCTCCCAAACAGCTGCCTCTTATGAGAGTCGATCTTCAACATTGTACCAAATCGTGCTGTTTCAATTCGTGAACCAAGACAACCAGCTCAGGGCTTTAAGGTGGAGGGGTTCAGGCTTATGTGGGGGAAGCAGACTCAAGACTACACCTCTTTGTGGTAATTCAAGGCATCAGTGCGCTGCGGGCATTAGCTGCGCCAAGTCGCTAATATCTCTTGCAAGTCTCTCGCCTCTTGGAGAGCAATGAACGAATTAATCCTAAAGAGAGGGTGCGCTGGAATCGGCCAATGGAAAAACCACATACAGTGATAGCGGTTGCATTCATCGTCATTGCCTGTGCGATTTGGACATTCCGGGTACGAAAGGGGCTCAATCAATTGGCAAGCGAGCCCCAGATCATCCCTACACGTGCTACTGATGAAATGTTCATTCGCCAAAACCCGATTGTAAAACAACTGTCCACTTATATTGAAATGCGGAGACTATATTTTCATACGGAAATTTGAAACTATCTTCCAGAACGACCTTTGAAGCAATAGCCCGCCCCAGTCCCGATTCCTCAGAGACATTGCCTGGATCTTCCAAGCCGGGTGTTACCAGACCGCAGGATACTAGCGACTCAAACACCCTAACCCCCAACCCTACCTGTAGCAGCAAATCTAAATTGCTGGGGTTTCTTCTTATAGTTCCTATATACATAAAAGAAGGTACGCTTGTTTTTTCCCTGGGGTCTACGCGCCGTACCGAACAAAGGCTTCGTGGGCCTATGGACCTATGTGCCCATGGTGAAGCGCAGCGGAACATGGTTCCGGGGTGGTGTAGTTTGCAATGTACTGTTACTCCGAGTATGTGTGCGAAGCCGCTCCTTAAATTGAAATCAGAAACCCTGTATGGCTTCAGGGTTAGTTTTTATGGTCAGGATCAAAACCCTACATAACTTAAGGAATATTTCTTAACGGAGGGGTAACGGGCACTTCGCGAACTTGTGCATTCAACAACCACCGCTCTCTTCAGAACACGTGCAGCGGTGGCTTGATTAGCGCTTGCATCTCCGGATCCTGGGCATGCGCGCGGTTTTGGGGTTAAGGTTGTTGGATGTATACATAAGGAAGGATTCTGAAAGGCAGCGTTACTTACGTAGGGATTTCTTGTTCATTACATTGGGCTTTGAGGTGACTGCGAGTTTGTCCGACAATGGGGGGCACAAGGGATTAGGGCTCAGGGATGAATGCACAGGGATCCCGTTATCCACCATCAAAGGCTCGGAAAGGCTCCAACATCCCTTGGCGGACTCGTCCTCGCGTCATAACACGAGCCCTTTCAATATATCAGGGATTGGCTTTGGGGTTGTGGGGACGAGGTGATCGAAGACCCGGGCCGGGAGGCTCTAAATAATCCGAAACTGCGTTAGGGTTTAGGTTTTAGGGTTTAAGCATAGGGTTTAGGGTTTAGGGTGAGGCCATGGCAAGGCCTTCGAAGTTGCTGTGGAGGTGCACAACGAGCGACGAAAACGAACGTTAAAATACACGCACACACATGCACTCATGAACAGTTCTGAAGAATCACAGAAGTTGCAGGTCAGAGCCTCTCAGAGAGTCTCTGATATTTCAGTAAGTAGAGTCTTGCCTTCGAAACTTGCCCGGAACCGCCCTCCGCTACGTGCAACACGGGCTATCAATGCTGCGCATCATCAAAGCCACGAGACCTTACAAGGCAGAACAGGGGCTCTCAGATGCCCGTCTCCTTTCTAAAGGATATAATACAAAACTTGGATGCCCAAGCTCAGGATGTTGTTACGAATGGCTTCCTCAGCCTCAAACGCCAAGAAGCAACCAAGGAACTGCAAACAACATCCTGAACCCTTGAACCCTAAGGGTCTAGGGTTTAGGGCTTAGGGCTTAGGTTTTAGGGGACCTTAAACCCTAAACCCTTAAACGCAGAACCCTCAACCCCAACGTTCAAGCTGACGCAGAAAAGCCGGGCTCTGTGGTCGCATCGAGCCACCCCTGAGCCGCTGGAGACCATCGAGCTTCCAGCTCGGGCCATACTCCCTTGGCTCGGGATCTTCGGGTGTAGGGTTACTGTAGAGTTTAGAGTTTAGGATTGAGAGTTTAGGGTTGAGAGTTTAGGGTTTAGGGCTTAGAGCTTAGGGTTTAGGGTTTAGGCTTCAGGGTTCAACTTTCGGGGTGTAGGGTTTTGGATAGGGATCTGATACCCTGTATAAGGCTCTGAGGGCTCATAGTTTTGAGGCGACTGGGCCCAAAGACCACACCACTGTAAACCTCGAAAAGTATGGGATGTTTCAAGGATGTGTGCCCTTCTGCTTGATGCGTTTTCCTGTAAATTGTGCATTTCAACAGGGCTTTGGCAAGACGCAGACACAAGGTAGATGCAAAAGCGCGAGGCACAATGCGGGCGCCGTTAATATAGGGGCCTTAATAATTAGACCCACTATACTATAATTATAATAAGGAACAGATAATTATTACGCAAGGGCTCCTATGTAGTTCCTCTTTGAATAGTATACTACAATTCCTACCAAAAAACCATAACAGACCCCAAAAGGATCTACATTGGAGCCCCCCTATCCTAAACCCTAAACCCTAAACCCTAAACCCTAAACCCTAAACCCTAAACCCTACCTATATTACCTGGTTTTGGGGGTGTCCAGGTTTGGAGCTCCTGGAGGGCTCCGGGCTTTGGGGCTGGAAATCCAGCATAGGTGTTGAGGTTTAGGGTTAAGAGTTTAGCGGGTTTAGGGCTTAGGATTAAGATTTTAGGGTTTCGGGTTTAGGGTTTAGGATTAAGAGTTTAGGGTTTTGGGCTTTGGGTTTAGGGTTTAGGGTCTAGGATTAAGAGTTTAGGGTTTAGGGCTTAGGATTAAGAGTTTAGGGTTGATTAGGGCACTTAAAGTGACCTGAAGAGGGCCCTTCACGAAGGTGCCCATGTCTAGTCTACTCGGAAGATTTTCGACTTCAACCCTAAACCTAAATCCGAACATCTAAAACTGGAGCGAAAAATCACAGGAAAAGTCTATAAACTCCCATATACAGTCCTCCAAAAAAGGGATTATTTCGCCGAAGGATTGAAAGCCCAAGACAGTGCCGGCCGAGGCACCGATGTTGTAGGAGGTCCGTGAGCCTCCTCCTCCGCCGCCTGGACTTCGACAGTTGAAAATTTGGGTTTAGGGTTTAGGGTTTAGGGTTTAGACCGAAGTCCAGTGACTCTGGGGTTGTGATCTCGGTCGTTTAGGGCTGTGATCTCGGTCTTTTTGGGTTTAGGGTTTCGCGTTACGGGTAAACTCGCCCCTGTCAGCGAACCCGCTTGCAGGGTTTAGGGTTCAGTGTAAGGGCTTGGGGTTTGACTGAGTGGGGTGGGAAGGGCCCTGCTCTGGAGTTTCGGCCCGGAGACTCCAAAATGCCGCTGGCTAAATAATATACGATTATACTATACTATATAAGACTAATATTACATTGTGTTATGTTACAGTTATGCTATGAATAGAGTTCACCAAAAAATAAAAGGTACATTATATTATGTTATCGTATATTATATTATATATGTACATATGAACTTCAGCTTTTTGAAGGGATATAGAAGGTCCTTGTAATATACCTTAAGCTATCGAGGGATGCTTGATGCGATTCAAGCTGTATTGTATTGATCAGGCCGCTTCGAAGTCTTGAGTGAAGATCAGACCCCCGAGCTTTTCGTGGGTTTAGGGTTGAGGGTTTAAGGTTTAGCGTTTAGATCCCTGAAACCTCAATAACCCAGCTCTTGAGGGTTCCTCCTTATGATTTCTTCGTATAAACCGTGTAAATCCTAAAGCCTAAACCCTAAACCCAGAGCCCCAAACCCTGCACCGTGAGGTTCTCTGGAGTAGAGATATGGTTTGGGGTTGAGGGTTTCTCTGGATCCTAAGGCCCTAGCCCGCTACATAAATCCGAAACCACAAAGAGGATCAACCTCTGAACTCCAGACCCAAAACTCTCTGAACGTACAGACACAATAGGCCCCTGAAAGACTGAACGCTCAGTCTTTAAGAACCCTAAACCCTCGACCGTAAAGCCCTAAACCCTCAACCCTAGTCTTTCCCGTCCCCTTCCTGCACCTCCCCGTCCGGACTGAAACGAGGCCGCCGGTGGGGCCTGCAACAGCAGAGTGCAAACTCTCCGTGATGAGGGTTTCGTGTTTGGTTACGTTTTGTTTCTCATGTAATATAGGGGTTTAGGGTTTAGGGTTTAGGGCTTTACATTTTGTTTCTCATGTAATATGGGGGCCTTAATAATTGGAATAGGGTTTTGGGGTAGAATATCCTCTTGTTAGAATAAGGAACCCCCAAGATAGTATTCGTAATTGTTTAGGCCCCTATATTAAGGAGACTTGACAGGAACTGAACCCTAAACCCTAAACCTTAAATCCTAAACCCTACAACCATGTTCGTTAGACCAACAAAAACATCTGCGAGACTTCGAGAGCAAGGTTGTAATTGACAAGCTTTGCTCCATAGCCCGATATAGGGTTCATAGGGTTTCGGGTTTAGGGTTCAGGGCTACATGGTAGCTTGGGGAAACAGGGACCTAACATAGAACCCCGAATAGCCGCGTCCTTACTTTAAATAAGGACCACAAGCTAAAGTACCCCCAGTGCTCTGAAACTCCATGTCAGTCTCGGAAGCTACATGATCGACCTATCGCCACAGCTTAGGGCTTACGGCTTGGCGCGTAGGGTTTAGGTTTAGGGCTACCTGAGCGCACATAATAATTACCAAACTCACTTTTGAGAGCCGTTCCCGGTACCCTACACCATCGTTACACAAGGGTGTTTAGAACCATAATACACGCTAAATCCTAAACCCTAAACCATCGCGGTACCTATAACTGCCATTACCAGGGCAGGGGGCTTAGTGCTTCCATCGTGCAGCCACGGCACACCCATCAAGCTGCGCCTGAGAGCGTGGCGAGTGAACCCCACAACCACCCAGAAAACACTTCGAACACATCCTGAACCCAAAAAACCCAAGAAGTCCAAGCAAACACCAGGAGAGAAGCAAAACGCCAACATCCCCCCAAACCCGCGAAAGGAGCCTTCGATTCACGCCATGAGTCTCTTAGTAGAGTCTTTGGGCTGGCTTGTGGTACATCGAGATCTACAGGGCTTCCGGAGCATGTCTAGGGTTAGTTTTGGGGCTTAGAGCATGAACTCCACAAGGCTGGAACATCGGGTTCAGGGCTTAGGGTTTAGGGATGATTCGTGCTATGATTCCCTAAGCTTTAGCTTAAGGAGTCTTAATAATTAGAGTAGGGTTTTGAGGCCCATTAGACTGTGTTTATCATAAGGAACCCCCTAAAATAACATTCTAGGTAATTATGAAGGCCCCTGCATTACTTTTGGAGGTTCAGGTAAGGCTTATAAACCCTAAACCCTAAAACCCTAAACCCCTAAACCCTAAACCCCTAAACCCTAAACCCTAAACCCTTAGGTTAAGGGCATCAGGATATGACTGCTCCAGCTCTGATCGCTCCGGCGTGTTGGCGCAAGAGCTCCAGGAGTCCCCGGAGAGCGCTACAAGCTCAGAAGCTTTGGCATTAGGGGTTTAGGGGTTTACGGGTTTTGGGATTAGGGTTTAGGGTTTAGGGTTTAGGGGTTTGGGGTTTAGGGTTTAGGGCTTAGGGTTTAGGAGGTGGGAGGAACCGAAGGAAGCGTTGGGCTTGGAGTGCACCGAGGCCAATATTCAGCCCCTCTATGAGTATGATGAACCACACCCCCAAAGCCGATCCTGATTATTCCGCCCTTCTGTTGGAAAGCCACGGCTGGAAGACGAGCAAGGCTCCAACTTTCATCAAGTTTGTGGCAGGATACCGTCTGCAGGATAAGGTTCCGAGTGTGGGCTTGGGGTGTAGGACCGTATAGGGTTTAGGGTTGAGGGTTTAGGGTTTAGGGAACTTGCCTACCCTCATGGACTTGAACCCATTACCGAGGGAAAAATCAGTCCTTCCCCAGCGACCTATACTCCTCAGACACTCCCAAGCCGCTTAACTTAAGCAATGCGCTTTGAACTAAACCCTAAACCCTAAACCCTAAACCCTGAACCCTAAACCCTAAACCTTAGCATGATTAAAGGTATGCCTCTCAAGCAAGGGAGGTTCTTTTTCACAAGAACCACGGCTTCTTTGGGTTCGAAGGCCCTGCTCCGTGGCCCCAATGTTCTAGTTACCATCATCCCAGAAAGCCCAACACCCCTCAACTACGAAACAACCTTCAGCTCATCTTTACAGAAACCCTGTAAACAAATACGGAACATAATTCTTGGAGATCAGAATCAGAAGCCCTATGCATTTCTCCGGAACGTGTACTCCTTCGTGTAAAAGGTCTTCGGCTCCCTCCCCTTGCCCGGGTCGCAGGCTGAGGGGCACCCATCGGTGGTGACAGGCTGTGCCTGGTCCTGTTGGTGGTTTAGGGTTTAGGGTTTAGGGTTTAGGGTTTAGGGTTTAGGGTTCAGGGTTTAGGAGAAACAATCCTAACACTACGGTCTACGGTTCGAGGTTTAGCGTCTACGTTTTCGGGTAGAGGACCTTAGCATGGATCTTGAACGGGTCTTATCGCGATCTTGTTCATGATGGTGTTACAAGGAAGAAGGGCCGTCATACTGGATGCAAAAAGGTGTGTCAGCTCCTTAGGACTCGTTGAACATGGGAGAAAATAGGTGATGAGAGGGTGTGTGAGTACTCAAAGGGTGTCGCAATATTTCGTTCATGTGTTTTCAATAGAGTCGTAAATGGGACAATACCACTCGACGTAACTGCGACTTCATCCATATGGGTAGTTCTCTAAATCAGGGCCCCTTTTTAGGTCCCCAATATAGTACGGCACCCTTATAAAAAGGACTCTAAAAGGGACCCTAATTTAGAGAACTACCCATATGTAACCTACTTATGAAGTCTGCCGGTCCTCAAAATAGTGCAGGAAATGCAAACCCTAAACCCTAAATCCTTGCATCATGCCTGCAAGGCCTCATCTGCACGCATGGCTTTGAAACTGTTACTAGGCGTTGAAAAGCCGCTTGGGGTCTTGCTGGGATTCTACGACTTAGCGTCTATTCCGGGGCCCTTCGGTTTCAACCCTAAGCCCCAAACCATTTATCATTTATCTTTTCGTTTTGCTTTAGATACGTTGGAAAGCCATGGTCTCTTTATGGCCTGCACCCTGCGAAGCCTTGAACAATGGCTTTGAGAGGTTTATAAGGAGTTTGCAAAGGTTCTGTACATCCCTGCAAGGATCCCAGCACCTACGATCCGCAGATGCTGTTGTCCTCTAGTTTGCGAAATCGACAAGCTTCTTGGCGTGACGTAGCTTCCCCAGAAAATTGAAGGCGAGGCTGTTGCACCCCTAAGGGCTCAGGGGCAGGTTTAGGGCTCAAGGTTTAGATTTGAGGGGTTTACGAACTAAGTAAGCTTAGGCCAAAAGGGGAACCGAAAACCAAAAAACCCTAAAATATTCTGACCTAAACCGGCCCCGAGCCATTTCCAAGCTTCAGAAGCTTGGACTTTCATCCCGGAACACGAGAATCCTTCTGCCCAACCCAAGGCTGCGACTCGCTCAAACCACGGTTTAGGGTTTAGGGTGTGCCTGAATTCCAAAACCTTTGAGGCTATGACTCTAAAGCCCTGAAGCCCAAAACCTCAAAGAACACTAAACTCCTACGGCTTACACTCTACGAGCCCTCAACGTAACCGTACCGTACCCTTGCAGAACCCTCTAGTACCCATCAGTAACCTATTAATTAATAACGAAAGATGTAGCCTTGTAGTGCCCTTGTAGTATCCTGACAGTACAGTACCCTTATAATACCCTTATAGCACCCTTTAAGTACCCTGACATGACCCGAAACCCTAAACCTTAAACCCTAAACCCTAAACCTAAGCCACTAAACCCTAAACGCTAAACCCAAAACCCTAAACCCTAAGCCCCTAAACCCTAAACCCTAAACCTTCAAGGCCCTGAAGCTGAACATACAGCGCTTGAGGGTCGCGCTGGTAGGCGGGGGGCATGGAGGCCAAGGAGGCCGAACCCCTGGTCGCCCAATGAGACTAGGGCTTTTGGGTTTAGGGTTTAG